AGTCAGGGCACTGTTCAGCCCACCCGGGGTGCGCGCTCTGGCGCCAAAAGCCACCCCACCACCACCACGTTTTCATTTGAAGTTGGGGGTTTATTGTCAGAACAGCAGGGTTCGTGTCCTCGGTGCGCTCGGCTGCAGAGCCAGCAGCCAGGCGTGCAGCATGCTGCCAGGCCACAGACGGCTGCCGTGAGCGCTGGCTCTCCGGGAAGCTGGACCCTTTTTCACCCCTAGAAGACCACTTGGGTCTGCTCTATACATCCATACAAATACAACACAATTCCACAGTTAATTACAAATAGCACAGCATATCCCCTCCAGTCCTGCTGCCTCCGGGATCACTCCCTGCCTGTGTACCAGGCACTGCTGGAGCGGTGCACTGCAGCTATCCTACCACGGCTCAGTGCAACCACAATACATTCATTTACCAGAGGTGCATCTGCAGGAAGCAGCACCCAAAACATCAGGCAAATGCATTCATCCTGGGCCCTGCATCAACCTCGCCAAGGCACAAATGTCCGCAATGTCCAATAAGCCGTGTTCAGGGTTTACTTTTGTGGCCGCGTCTTGTTCACTAATCTTACTCTGACCAACTCTAGAATTCAAGTGAATGGAGCCAGGTGCTTCTCAGGGGTGCCAAGCAATAGGACAAGAGGCAATGGACAGAAACTGATGCACAGGAAGTTCCACCTGAATACGAAGAGGAACTTACTTACTGTGCAGGAGACCAAGCAATGGAACAGATTGCCCAGAGAAGTTGTGGAGTCTCCTTCACTGGGGATATCAAAGAACTGTCTGGACATAATCCTGTGCCATGTGCTCTAGGATGGACCTGCTTGTGCAAGGAGGTTGGGCCAGATGTGGTCCCTCCCAACCTTACTCATTTGGTGATTCTGTGAACTGTCACATCCGTCATCAACCCTGTACCCAGCTCCCAGGCCCTGCTCATTTATGTACACCAAATCCGACATTGTTTTCCACCATGTACCTCCTAACAACCAGGGAATCAACAATAGGCTTTAACCCTACAGGGCACACAGGCCCCAACTCACGTCTCCACACCCATATAGTTTCTAGAATGCTCCTGAGTGGTTTTCTCATTCAGAAAGAGGAAAACAGAGCTGTGACTTCCATGCTGCATTTCAAAGCTGCTGCCTGTCAGCAGCATGTCTGTGTAAATGCACCATCTCTGCACACACACAAGTTCACTTCAAACACAAGGAGTAGTAAAATGATAATCATCACTGAAAACTGCTGACAAACAGGAAAAAACCCCCTGAAATCAGGACAGTAAAGAGTTCCTTCTGGAGTGACCATTTCCTACAGCAACTTCAGCACAGTGCAAGCATATTCCAAAAAGGTGTGTTTTTCTCACAGAGATCATAGATGCCCTGCAGAGTCCTGGTTTTTCTTCCACAATGATCAAGTCTTAAATCAAGCTGATGGCAGATGTTGTCAAATCAAGGCTTATTCTTTACACACTGTACTCTGCACTGTAAAAGAGTGCTAGTGATGGAGTGGACTTGGGAAAGGGTGGAAGGAAAGGGGCTGAGTTCACAATGACTTTCCAAAGGACTCTGGAAGCCAAAAGCAGGCCTTTCAATAAGTTTTCCCATCTTGGGCTTCCAAAAGTCTCCTTGTAGGAGCTTTAGTACTGCAGTCTATTGAGTGAGTCGATGTAATGGAACGTGGCTCCTAAGGCCCAGCTCGTTTCAACATTGTCAATTTTCCGGGCAAGCTGAAAAAACAAAAAAAACCAAAACAGCAAAAAACTAAAACACAGTTCTCTGGGAGAATCTGAAGCATGCAAGGTGATAAAGTGCTGAAGGTTATGACAACCAGTTATAACCATCGTGGGGAGAGTGTTGCTCCACTCCCAATCATGAAGCACATGTTGTGGCAAGAAGACAAATCAAGAACTGAGCTATCAGCATGACAACTACTGCCTCAGCACCCTCCTGTCCACTGTCCCCAGCAATCCATTTTGTGCGTCACCTTAAAGACTTGGCTCTTGGGGAAGCCCAGCTCTTGCAGGAGGAAGGTGATGTATGTGAGGTCCATGCAGAGAAAAGGACTGCTGCCGGGGCTGATTTCCATGGTCTTACATACTAAGAAAAAAAAAAAATACAATGCCTGAATGCACACTGCAGGCTCAGGCCTAGCAACAACCCAGCTTTGAAAAAATTAACCCATAAAACATTGCTTTTCAGTTGAGCTGTACAGTGATGCAACCTGTAACAATGGGGTTGTAATGACACACACAAACAAAGCACATGAAGCTTCGGCATGCTGGAAGAAAGATCAAAACACTGTGTCTCTCCTCAGAGACAGCAGAGTTTCTAGTATCTTTCCAGGAAAAGAGCCTCCAACTTTTATCTACTTCAAGCCTTCAAATATCTGAGCAACCTCAGGTGTGTTATCCTTCTTGAGCATCAGTGCTCAACAGATGTTGACAAGACCGAATAAAAAAGAGACAATAAAAGAAAAAGACAAAACCAAAATAAAAGCCACTTCCTCAGAATGAATTACACAACCAGTAGTCCGAAAATCAGAACTGCAATTGTTTAGTCATTCATAAAGTTTACCAAAAAGCCCCATGTCAGTTTGCTCAAACCCTGAGTTTGTGGTATTAAGGAAAGAATGTTTACATTGGTTAATCTGTATAGGCAGTTCTCTCTGCAGCTGATGAAGCAAAAAGCTATGAACCGGTTTTCCCCCTTTTCCAATTAACAATCAAGCGAATGAACAAACCACAAGACAAAAAGAAAAGTTAAACCAGATCAGAACATGTTATGCTAACAGGATGAGAACCACCCAATTATTTTGAAAGCATGATTTCAGACCAACTGTTAGGTGTCAAGTTTACTAGCAATTCTTGAGAGAGTTTTGAAATGTATGTCTCACAAGATGTGGCTTATGTGGGCTGCAAAAGCAAGTATCGATATAAAAATAGCTGAGATTTTCAGAAAAAAGCAGAGATGTTGGTGAGATGCTATGTAGAGGTGCTCAATATTTACTTAAAAACATCAGGCTTCCTGGCATGTCACACATTTGCCATCTGGGAATGAAATGACACACCATCACTAGTGTGTGTTTGATTGTATTTTACTCACCATATTTAGCAGCAATTTCAAAGTCACTGACTGTTAAACTTCCTCCTTTTTCTTTATCTAAAAGGAAAAAAGCATGGTCTTCTATGGTTTTTGTATAAAGGCAATTGCAGATTCAAGTCATAAAAGTTGTTTGGAAATGAAACCTTGAGCCACTGAAATCAATGTCAAAATTTGGACTGTTTGTAAGGGTAAAAGAACCTTTAAAAGATTCTGAATATAGACTAAAGAGCCTCGGTTTTTGCAGAACCTTTAGCCTTGTTACCTACAGAAACATAGTTTATAGACCTCTCACCTGGCCCCCATGTCTGTGCTGTCCTACCCTGTGGTGCCTGAATACAGTTAACATCTGTAAGGGTTACAGTGATCTGACAGGGGTTGTTGTGCTCTGCCACGCATTAAAGCTGAAATCATTTGTAAAATTAAAGTGGCTGAGGAGGGAGGTATGTTTGTCCAAACTAGTTTGAGATCTCATCATCTGCTTTCTACCACTGAACGTGACAGCCTTCTGTACACCAGCGTGCCACTGGAAAAGAGATGTGATGCATTCTGAATGCATATGGAAATACTGAAAATCTTAACTCCATCTAAAAAGGTCAGTGAAGCAGAACACACAGCCCAGTAAATTTTACTGCTTTACCACCCAGGAAATATGTTTATCATTATGAGTGCTTTTTTCCCGTTTTGGATTGCAGAGTTAATCAGAAAACAAGTACTTCTGAAACACAGTTTGTTTAAAAACCATCACCCAAAGTTGCAGGTCCTATTTCAAACACTCAGTCCCTACTCTATAAAAATTAAATAGCATTCAATATTCATTCAAGACCAATGCTGCACAGCAGTATAACAACAGACTAAGTTCCATGACAGCTTAGCAAAGCATGATGACATGTGTGTTACCATTTCCCCCATAACTTGTCATTTAAAATGAAATGCAGACAGGAGCAGACATACCTATGAAACCAGCTTCTGCTGCACGGTCATAGTAGTAGGAAAAAGTGTAAAAATCCAAGTCCTTCACTTCCTCAGCTTTATGCACCTTTTTGTAGAGCATCTTTGCCACTTTGTTAGAACAAGACTCATACAGAGGCTCACCTAAAAGAAGGCAAACCCCCCAGCATATCATAGACTGACAGTTAAATATACATAGAAGTTATTTAGGGATTTATTTAGCCAGGAAATAGGCTCGATTTTGCAAAATAGCACTCCATAAACTCTTCACAGAGAAGCGAAATCTTCACCTTCCAGAGGCAGACACCTACCATCCTCAGGCTGGGACTAAGTATGTGATAGATCATAGAGATGGAAAACACCATTTGAGGCAGAAGGATTTGGAAAGACCTGTTCAAGGATTGCTCAACTCCATCTGCATCACTACTAGCAGCTTTACTGATTGGACAAATACACCATGGCACAAGAGGAAAGAATCTCTTTGACAGCATGTCAAGAGGAGCCAGACAGAACAGAAAACAGAGAGTCTAGTGTCTTTGCAAGAGGCTGAGAGTGTATCATTTACTCTGCTGATAGCAGCTGGCCTAGATAGGAAGAGTGATAAATCACTATACCTGCCTTCTGTCCTTTAATTTTGTACACGATCTCAGCATGTTGCCATTCAGATTTGAAGCCAGGTGGTAAACAAGGACTGATCAATTCCTCCCCTTCTCCTACTGCAGTAGTAAAACAAAGCCACATTAGGGGAAAACATAAGGAGTTAAATTCCAATCCCTCATCCCCAGCTCCATACTGTCCTGCAGCCTCAGCAAGGCACCTCCACAGCCGTCACGGCTCAGATGTCCCATGCCCACCAGCAACTCAGGGCTGGCAAGAATCCAGGTCTCCTGGGATCTAGCAGTGTCATCTCCTGCATTCGTTTCAAATGCACCCAGCCACGGTGACAGGACTCCACATGCCACTCCGGAACCTTGAGCCCAGTGGGAAGGGGACATACAACTCCACCCCCCACCACAGGACTACATACCCTGTGCTCAGAGCCAAGACTTGAGGATTGCCTATAACTTACAGGGTTTTCCCTCAACTCCTCCCAAAATGGCGAGTCTTGCCGACATCAGCCCGAGCCCCAGGTAACTGCAAAGGGATAAAAGTCTCTGTGAACAACAAACATCCTTCCTCTGATTCTCCACTGACAACCTGGCTGGGACATGCCAGTCTTCTCCACACAGTCACAACAAAATGGCTCACATCAGCAGCTCATGCACATAAAGGGAACAGTGTGACAACCCACTCTCATATTACCCTTACTAAGAAGGATAATATCTCTCTGAAAAACTTCAGGCAATAGCTGTCAACTATAATCTGGCTCTTAAAGAACTGGCAATGGCATTCCCTTAACACTTCTCCTACTCTCCTCAAAGGCGGTCCAGCCATTAGCATACAAAATTGACCCAAAACATACCCCACATCAAATATAGGTGTGAAGAATCTGCTTCCCTCTGCCCAAAATACTGGGAGCAGGGGAAGACAGTGAGGAAGAAGGAATGACAGAGACAAAGCACTATGAACTGACTGCAACCTTCATTCTCCCATCCACCTGTGCTGCTCGGTGACGAGGAGGTAAAAGAGTTGGGAGTGAAGCTGAGCCTGGGAAGGAGATGGAGGAAGGTGCTTTTGATTTTGTACTTATTTCTCATTATCCTACTGTTAAGTGCCAGTAAATTAAGTTCTCTAAGTAGAATTTGGTTTGTCCATGACAGTAGCTGGTAAGTGACCTTCTTGTCGTTATTTTGACCCCTAAGATTTTGATTGTTTTCCTTCCCCTGTCCTGTTAATGGAAGGGGAGTGATAGAGCAGCTTGGTGGGCGGCTAAGGTTAATCCACCACAGTCATGTGGCTCAGGTTTCTCTGGTTCTTGCTAGTACTCATTTGCAAGGACTCCACATCAGCAAAACACCTCATTCTCAGTGGCTTCACAGAAAGCTTCAATCTGTACAGTGTGTTCTCCTTGCCACAACTAACCTGTACGAATACAGCTTGTAGGTGTGGTTAAACATCTGAAATGAAGTTGTGTGGCCAGCTGGTGATGTCTGGAGAGTTGCCTGGAGGGAGAAAAAGATGTCAGTAACAGATTTCTGCCAGCCAGCAGCAAACATCAACATGACAATCTTCCAAAACATTAGGAAAAATGTGAAACAATCCTAGCATGATTCAGAGAGAAATGATTAATTTGTAAGTATTTTGACTTGACTGCTGATACACAACACAACCACAAAACCTGGAGCTAGTAGTATCCTCACATGACAGGGTCTAAACTGGCTACATTTCTATTTCTATTCACACCAAACTGCTGTATAAAAGAATTATTTTCATTAAAAAGGAATCCTTATTCCAGCTTTTGTCAAGAGGCTACAGCAACTGCCTCTTTACATGACACATACTACGGAACACTGTGTGCACACTAATAGGAAGGCCAGGCACGCATTAACTTCCTACTCAAGGGAATTCATCTGTGAATTTCCACAAGCCAGAGGAAAAGCACATCACTGTGCTTGCCAAGAGCAGAGTGAGGACCAGCCTGTGGTCTGAAGAAATGAGAGGGTAATTATCTAATGCACTTTGCAGCCTGTTCCTCAAGTGCATCAGCACGGCAACTCGTTAGTGGGGAGCAAAGCTCAGGCCGTAATGCTGTTCATGCTGCTCATATCTTAATACCATCTGCATCCAAAATTTCTACATCCCGGACTCTTCACATCCTCTGTCACTCTGCTCTAAGAGTGCAATATCTTGATTTTGCTGGGACAATACAGACAGCATCCCATCCCTCTGCTTTTGTGCAGCTTTAACACAACAAACACTACTTCTGCTCAGGCCAGAGCCTTATGACTCCATATCCACAGGGTTTCCAGCTCACAGAACACCTATAAAAATGCCACACCAGGAAGCTGAAATGAAATCAGCATGTATTTTTCACTGCCTAACAGCAGTTGCCCCTTAGAAAGCACTAATTTGCAACTGAATGAACTCAGGAAAATCAGAAACAAGGACTGAGAAGGCATCTTACTGTGTTCTTAAACCCAATGTAGGCCAAGTGTTGGACCTGAATTCATTAACAGCATTGCTTTGGAGTTCTTTGTTATAAGCTGCACAAACTGAATCAAGGATTAAGACACTCAGATGAATGTGGCATTTTCCCCAAAATAATGCAGCCATGACAGATTTGCCACACGCACCACTGACCCATGGAGTTGGACTAAAAGTACAGGCATAAATTTGTGAATGCCTCCATGACTGACTATAACAAGGCAAATGTGGTCAAATGACCCATGTTTTTCTGTCATGAGTGTGCCTTCATGTCACACAGACACACTCTGGCTCTGCTCCCAAGGGAAAGAAATCTCAGCAGTTGCTGATTTTTGCACCAGCATTTCCCAACAGTGGGCACATTCATATTACCTCAGTGCGCGGAAGGAAGGTGATCTGTGTGGATCCACCACCCAAATCCAGCATCCCTACACTTCTCTTCTGCGGATCATCTAGCCTACCTGAAACATGTGACAGAACAGAGAAAGCCATGGTGGGCACTGTGAGAAACTGGCTAGGAACAAAACCAGAAGTACAGTGGTAAGGATAGAGAACAATCTAACTCCATCTGTCAGCTTCCAGACAGCACTAAATTACAGTATTATCTACTCGGCACTGATTTTGGCATTATTGACTCTGAAAATCTTACAGTGACAGAGTTTCTCTTATTTCCCTAGTGGCTGTTCATGTCCTAATTACAGCAGCTTTGGTTATTGGATTCCTAAACATTTTTCAGTGGATGTAAGGACCCTTTTTGCAAACACCACTCTGGTAACCACTCTGTAACACAGTGGAATGTGGTTTTCTTGGCCATCTCTCCCTGATCTCTTAGTGATACTTTGCAGATTCCTATGGCCAAGGGGATGACAGACTGAAAAGAGCTGGCCTAAGAGAATTACAGCAGCTTTGGTTATTGGATTCCTAAACATTTTTCAGTGGATGTAAGGACCCTTTTTGCAAACACCACTCTGGTAACCACTCTGTAACACAGTGGAATGTGGTTTTCTTGGCCATCTCTCCCTGATCTCTTAGTGATACTTTGCAGATTCCTATGGCCAAGGGGATGACAGACTGAAAAGAGCTGGCCTAAGAGACTCTCTTGGAAATTTTTTGCTGACAGCCAAGACCTCTCTTCTCATTTAAATCTAGTTCTTCTCAGTTAGATCCTGTAAATGTACCTTCCTGACAAGGACAGTTTGTGCCAAGTACCTCGGTACACCTCATGAGAGCTGATGTTTGAAGATTTCTGACCTTTCTGTTATTTCCTATGGCCATAAGAAGCTTCAGAGCACTTGTGGCACTGCTCCACACTCTGTGTGCTGAACAGAGCACTCAGATGGCCCTGCTTTACACATTGTCAGAGAGGTCTTCAGCTTACTTTTCTCATTAATCTTCAACTATCCTTTTCTCACTCAGCAGTGTAAACACCTGTGACATTTCTACGTTATAAATCTGTAAGAAAGTAGCATAGCACTTGCTTTCACCCTGTGCAGCTGCCAAGCACATCTAGAATATTCACATAAAAAATTTAGCCAGAGTCACAGCAGACTCTAAAAAGGAATAAAATGCTCTGGTACCCTAGGGGGAATTAAACATCTCAGGGAAAGGATTAAACTCCTCACTCTGTCAAGTAAATAGCCAAAATCTTAAATAATGGTTAAATAATAAATGAGTTAAATAAGCCAGGCCAAAAACAACGGCTGACTTATTCCCAGATTCTTCTTTCTACCATTCCATCCCAATGAATGAGCAAATCCCACGCAGGGACAGAAAACTGTGAAATTCACAGCATTGGTCATATCTTTATGCATATGCTCATGTACACATACCTGTTAAAAAATTTATTGTGATCCAGGCTGAAATACCTAATAAGGGAAAGATTCCAAAGACACACTGTTAGATCATACCATTTCAGTTTATCTAACAACAGTACCAAGTAAGTTGAGCCATGCTACAAGGTTTCCAGAACTGTCAGTGGCTGTCAAAAAACAAGACTAGATGCCCTGAACAAAGAGAACAACCTTCCTTACCAGAGCTTATGCTGTATTTGGGAGAGAAGCCCCATGAAATGCCTGGAGAACTCTGTATTTCACAGGTCAAAAACTTAGGTGAGAAGTCACAAAGGCTTTAGTCCTTAGCTAAAAGACAAGCAGATGACTGAGACTCACAATGTTCATTCTCCAGGAGAACATCCACTGGTTGGTTTTTGTGTGATGTCAGGCACACAACTCTCCTTTTGAATACTAAGAGTTTCATCTTTCAGTGTTCTATCTAATTTTTCCTGTTTTCCTCTAAGCAATTTTATAAGCCACACCGTTTCTGTCCTCTTCTTGTTTTACAAACTGTTTCTCCATAAATTAGAGGAATTAGTGGGCCTTATGTTCACAAATTTAAATATTTATCCATGCCATGCTAGGCAGCATGGTCCAGTTCAACCCTTGGCTGAACCAAGACTGTCACTGCTACTAATGATTAACAAAAAACCCAAAAAGAAGAATTACAATGTCTTTCTTCCATTAAGCAGCAAAAAAAGAAACTCATAAAGCTCCAGCTATTTTAAAGTTTGGTTTCTAAGCAGCTTTACAACACATTCCAACACTCAGTTACTTAGAATTTAGATGTTCCATCCTCAACATTTTTTGATGAGCATCAACTTACTTGTTATCTTCTTCTCTATATAACATTTTTTCAGATTTAACTCACAATCACCCTCATTAGATCAGTTATCATTAACATTATGACCAAATACTTCCAGAAAGCTCTGATAAGCATTGTCAAGAGCAGGGTGTGCAAACCCAGTTGCTGAAGATCATCTCAATAAGCAGATATTCAGAAACTTTTCCAGTGCACGGTGGCTTCCTGATGATCCTACAGGAACTGCCCAACACAGAGTTTTCAAAATCAGGGCAGAGTTCAGGACTTCAAATTGAAAAACACAGCACAATATCTCTTTGGCAGACACTGCCTGTGGCACCAAAAAAACTCTGTTGCAAACCCAGTTGCTGAAGATCATCTCAATAAGCAGATATTCAGAAACTTTTCCAGTGCACGGTGGCTTCCTGATGATCCTACAGGAACTGCCCAACACAGAGTTTTCAAAATCAGGGCAGAGTTCAGGACTTCAAATTGAAAAACACAGCACAATATCTCTTTGGCAGACACTGCCTGTGGCACCAAAAAAACTCTGTCAAACCCTTTCCACTAGACTAGAGCCACTAGGGACTTGTCACAGTGCAGAATCTCCAGGATGCAGAAGGGTTCTCCACAGGGTAGCCTACCTTCATCAGTTCCATTCATTATTGACACACAGTTGTCTCTCACAAAGAAGGGGGAGGTCTGAAAAATCTCCTTCACCTGTAGGTCAAGTAAGAGCTGCATTCAGAGAAATATTTTTTTCAGTTGGAAAGCAAGTGTTTTAAAACTTCAGCAATTTTACACTGCTGCTCCTCTTTTCGGACCAGATCCCAACTGCTGCTCACCACTTTGTTTGAAGTTCAAGAGCCCAGCAAGCATCAACGTTTACATGCCGGCTCTGCGGTTTAGCGCAGAGACAGGGATGGATGTGTGGGTTTTCAAGGAGGAAGACTGCTCAGAAATGCCATTAGGAAGGGAATCCAGTTTACTTTGCTGCAATTAGTGACCCACATGATACTATACATTCATGGGAAAGGCAGGAGATGGACACCCTAACTTTCAGGAATGTCCCAGGGAACTGCATTTTTAACAGGAGCATGTTGGCTGATAGGGGTATCCCTATAGTACATCCTGCACGAGGTAACAATGTTTTCCAGGGCCCTCTAAAGTAACAACTGCAGGAGTTTCAGCTGAAATCAGTGTATAAAAGAACCAGCCAGCTTGCAGGCAGCAGAGGACAATACGAACATTGACTTCAACCACACTCCATTTCTTCCTCTCAATTATTGATTAGAAAAAGAGTACACTCAGTACACACCTAATAAACCTGTCCTTCGACTGAAAGGTTGAGAACATATTTTGTTTATTTTTATAATATTTTAAAATATTAAACACATTTTACATGCCTATAGATACATATTACATTATTTTCCCTGATAGCTCCCTCAGGGGGCTGTCTCTGTTTAATAGGCTCAGGGACCCAGACAGGCATAGAGTCACACTGTCACATTGTCAGATGCCTCACCCCGGGGGGTGGGGAGCCAAGCATGCTCACAGGGATATAAACTGGGGTTTGGACAAGCACAGATTCCCTTTGCCTGCTGGATTCCCAGAGGACAAGAGCTGCTGCTGGACCTTTGGGAGAGGAACGGATCGGTGGGATCACTGCTCCAAACAGACCCATCGCTCCAGGAGGACTGCAGCCACCACTTAATCGGACTACTACCAACACCACTACTACCAACACTCTGACTGACAGGGTGTCAGGTTACTTTCTGACTCTGTCAGTGGTTTTTTTGTACTGTTGCATTTGTTGTTGTTTTGGGTTTTTTTCATATTAAATTGTACTTCTGACTCAGAGTCTCTCACCGGTTTGCTTTCAAACCAGCACACAACAAAATAGCCACATCCTGGTCAAAACCATCACCAAACATGCCCAAAAAGAACAGGCCTGTGGTGACTGTTAGTAGCATCTCACTGCATTTGTTACATTATTTGTCATCTCCTGGTTTACTTGGAGCTACCAGCATTCCTCTGTGCTTGCACTCACACAATTTCTTCCCCTCAAGCCCATCTGAGATCAGGTGGCTCCACACTGTTTTCAGGGTTAAATGATAGGAATGGCTCATGTACACAAAGATAAAGGACTATGCACCTTACGCAGAACAACCACATTTTGCGACAAAACTTCTAAAGAGCAAATGCAAACATAAGGAATAGTACCTTATCCAGCAACTTCTGAGCTTTCTCTCCTGGCAGCAACCGTAGGCCAGCTGTGGCTTTCAGGACCAGAGGAGTAAACTTCCACAGCTCCATAGGAACTTCCTTTTTTGCCACCTCCAAGAGCTCTTTTATTCCCTGTCCACTCTGTCAGCAGAGAAAGAACAATAAAAGGCACCTTAGAAACTCTTTCGAAAGGGCAAAAGGGTGATCAGAGGTACAATTCACTGTAAATGTGAAACGAGACAAGTGAGTATCACAAGGGCTCAGGAGAAGGTGGAAGACTCACTCTCTCCTACAGCATAAGACCTAGTAGAAATAACGGAGATTATTGGGCAACAGGTCAAAACCAGAAAGAGTCACTCTTTCAAACAGTGACATAGAACTCTTTGCCACTGAATGTTTTGGCTACCAAAGGTTCAAAAGGCAGTATGACAAAATCTTGGAGAACAAAGGCTTTTGGAGCTAGTAAAACACTGTGCTGGGTGTAAATCTGGATCAGGGTATCCCTAAATCCCTGTGAGCTAGAAGGTAAAGTGTGGAGGAATGGCTCTGCGAACAGGGACATGATTTCCTTGAAGCTGACAACCCAGCTTGTAGTGTGGTGTAAGGCCTACAGCAGCTGTGACTTAGCCTTGAACTGCAGATAAGGAGCGAGCTCTGGCTCTGACCGGCTCTTAGTCCAGTGTCAACAAGCTCCCTGGAATTCCTGAGAACATCCTGGAATGTGGACAGACACCTGCTTGCTCCAATCATAAGTTTGCCCTGGACACTTGGACAAGGGCAATAAACCAATCATGTATCTGCTGCGTTCGCATACTCTGTGTGAATGTCTATATATATCTTGTAAGCACTAAGAATAAAGGAGAATGACCATACTCATACTGAGACTCATCGTTACTCCAGGTCCGGATCCCACTCCAACAGTAAAGGAAACAGGAGAGAAATAATTTAGTACTTGGCCTTTTTATTACACTATTTTCCTGAGAATCCAATTCCTGCCACTTTTGGAGAAGACTCTGTTCCAATCGCACATGACTCTTCTGCCATTTTCTTACGCACATCAATATTCTTAAGGCAGAGATAGGAAAAACATTCACTGTGATTAATTAACATCACTGAGCAGAATTAGATGTGTTCTGTTCCTTTCTCCTCTGGATGTTTACCAATCTTTACTGTGTGTATCAGCTGGAGAGACTTCAGCATAGTGTATCACAGCAAGATGGGATTTACAGGGCATATAAAAACCAGCAGGTTTTGAGACACACAGTTTCACAGTAACAGAAACAAAATTACCTTTTCGACATCATCAGCATATGCAGACAGACCTGGTTTCAGTGCTCTGAACGTCTCATGGGTTAGTTTAGGAGTCTCTGTTCAAAAGCAGTATTCCAAAGTAAGCAACGGTACAAATAATTTTGCACACACAAAAAGAAAACCATTTGACAAATTACATTATTATATGCTAATGAAAGTCAACTGAAGCCTCTGTCTAATGAACTATCAACAGCCACCTGACCTTTAAATCCAACCCTTGCTATGGAATTAGCTCCTGAGAAAACCATTTTTAAAGCCATGACTGGTTTTCAGGTGCTGGTGTCTACAATGCACATCAGACAATCACCAGAGGGGTGCAAGTTTTCTGTGAGGCTTTACACCTGCCATGTACAGCTTTTCAAACTGCACCTGGAACAAAGACCCCATGTTTCAGCATGCTCTGTTCTGCCTAAACTTGACTCCAGCAAAACCCAGTGGAGGCTTTACCACAGTTTTCAATGGCATCAGGGGAGCCAGACTTAAGTATTTTGAAGACCTGCAGTACAGACAATTACATGAACCTGCAGTCAAGACATCACGAGCTTCACAACATCCGCCTCCCGTACTCAACTACACTCCATAAAGTTTGCTGCAATATATTCTGAAACTGTGTTTAAAGAGAAGCAGGCAAGGAAGAAGCAAAGACTGGGGAACACACCAAAAGAAGGAAATCCATGGACTGTTGTGCAAGGCCTTTGCTGGCTAAGCCTTACACTAGCCCATTCTGCAAACCTAAGGTGCTCCCCAGAGACCAATCACACCATACACCACACTGCTAATCCCTGAAAGCACCTTCAGATCATCTACTAACAGCATCCACACAGGTTCTTTCATCTTTAAGAGTTTCACAAACAGGAACTGAAAGTACATAAACAAATGAAGCTTACTACTCCAGAGAAAACCTGGAACCCTTTCGTACATTTCTGTCTCACTTTTCAGCAGTAGTTTCTGTTCAGATGCAACACACAGCAATTTTAATCAAACAATTTGCAATTTTTGTTTCCTTCGGTTTTGCGGTTTAAATCCAACACTGAAGCCAAGGATACGGTAAAACAGACAATGCAGAGAGAAGCAGCTCACTTCCAGGAACTGGAGACAGCACACAACCTCATGGTGAAAATTTGGGGGAATAAGGCAGTTTGGATTCATAATCCTCTCTTCCACCAAACAGTGTGATGAAAAACTGCCCTTCTTCAAGCCACAATTCTAGAAGTACAGCTGCTATTTAGTTCACATTCTGATCTTAGAGGATTTTCGCCTTGTTGAATGTTTTCATCATTTCATCCAAACCTTCATGCCTGAATCATAATAGACTTCCTGATGGCTCTCTAGAAAGAGCTGAAGCATGTTTTTTAAGTAATCCCTAGAAAAGAATCATCAATAATCTGCTGCGTAATGTTATGGAAGACTTAATGTATTGTGCACTGAGCAGGCCATACCTTTTGGCTGCTGTGTAAATTTAAAAATGTGGATGCGAGTTCCTGTGCTTCCTGCGTCAAACATAATCCCATAAAAGACTGAGAGGTCTGTGGTCACTGCCTGATGGTTCAGATTATCTCCCCTGCTTTCAGCGATTCCTTCTGCTGCTCCCATGAGCGGTTTGGTATCCAAGTGCCATTTTATATATGCAACATAAATAGCTATGCATGTCAAAATCCCAAAAGCGAAGAACCGCTTTGATATTTTCATGGCTTCCATTTATCAGATGTTCTGTTCCTTCCCATTATCAAATGGTCCTTCACACAGCACAGGTGGTTTCCACATCACTCCTATACCCAACAGAAGAGAAAAGGTCTGTTTTATTTTCTAAACCTGATAAAAGGATCTAAGGGTATGATGCCTATGACACTGCACACTACTTTCCCAAAGTACCCAGAAGGTGTTTCTTCCTCCTTTGGCCTGTCATTGAGATATACAGCTAATTTTAACACATGGAGCAGTCTAAATCTTCTTTTGCCTCATTGCCACTGAGGTCTAAGAAGGCACAGAGTAAGGGGAGTTCAGAGAAGCTAAATACAGTAACAGGTGGGAAGGGACCTCAAGAGATCCAACCTCCCACTCACAGCACAGGCAGCTATGGGGACCCACCACACTGCCAAGGGGCTACAACCAACTGCACCTTGAAAAACTAAGGAGGAGGATCCCACAGGTTCTCTTTGTTCGTTCCTGGGTGGCGAAGGACATCTCAAAAGATTGGATAAGGACAATTTAAATCCAGTGTTTAAAAGGCAAGACAGAAGATCCTCCCCTCCACCATTTCCAATATCAGGAAAGGAACCACAGCAAAGCACAAAGCAAGAAATCTACAAGCACTCACATGACATCATCCAGATTAAAAAACAGTCAGTGGTGATTGATGGGGAGCAAAATTACATGTTATTTTTCCTTTTTCGATAGAGCAATGAAGAAGTCAGCAAACCAATTGATGAAGGTGAGTTAAACAAGGCTTTAAAACACGTGTAATCTGTTTAAGGTATGAATTCAGGAGGTGTACAGAGGGCAGGGAGGAATTTAAAATCAAGGTGATTACAATGTACTGCCAAAATTGGGTAATACAAAATTTCACAAACTTTTGATTTTATAGGGGAGAAAGCAAAACCAGAGACACAAATGCACAGTAAGAAAGGGAAAAAGAAGGGGAAAGGAATCTGTAGGCTGTCATAATACGGCAATCAGGGATACAGCATTACAGAATGATGAAAAATCCTTCTATCAGCAGGCACAGCGATGGAGGTATACGCCGTGATCACTCCAACCCTCCTGGTGCCAGAAAGGTCTCAGCCGCAGCCACACAAGCGCTAATGTCACAGGAGGGAGGAAAGCAGCAGGGACCGCGTGATCCTAGGAGGAGACGCAAGTCCCACCGCGGGAAAGGGGAGGCTGGAGGGATGACG